GAGTATAAACTTGGAAATAATAAATTTTTAATCTTGCAGATTTCCTCTTTAACTATGCTGGAGTGTGAATATTCATAAAGAGGGGACTTTTATATGGTGAAATGCATCATTCTTCTCAGGAAATGGAATATTAGAAAGGTGGGCATTCACCTGTGTGGGAGATAGGTTCACTCTGCAATTAATAAACTCCTTCACAAGTAAGAACTATAACAAACCTTTCTGCTTGGGATGAATAAAAGGACCTTTTATTTGACCTCTCCTTCTTCAACTTTCAGCCAAGCAATGGATGTACTACAAAGATGAAAGCTGATGCTTTAGAAGAGGCTGTGTGTGCTTTTTCCCTAGCAGGAAGTTGAAACAGCCAGCATTTGTGGAGCCATAAAGTGCTGCAGCTCAGTACAGTAGGAGAATATACTCAAAATGATCTGGTGTAAGAATACAGAAAATGCATCCTTGGAAGGAGAAGGGGAAGCATGAGTGTTTTCCACTTTTTCTTTTTTTTTTTCCCCAGTAATACTACTAACATTCCTCCTACTGTGCACAATGTTAAAATACTTATCACAGTTTGTTAGATATTGGGATAGTAACTCCTTGCTGTAATGGTTTAGCAATAATCACAGGTGTTCTTGTTTGTTGGTTGGTTTTGTTTTGTTTATTTGTACTTGTTTGGGTTTTGTGTTTTCTTCTTGCACCGTGAAGGACATGAAATGTTTAATTCTCAGAACAGAGGTTTTATTTTGGTCTTGTCTCTTTGGTCCATTTTTATGCAGATTAAAATTATTTTAAAAGTTTTGCAGCACCTTGCAGGAACCCAGTGTTGTGTCAGCTTGGCAGCATGAATGTTTCAGGTTTCTGCTGTTTGTGCTGCAGATTGTATCAGCTGCAGCAAAGCTCTTCCTATGCCAACAGCCCTCGATCAAAGGGCATTGAGAGGTTAAAAAGATGGGTGTGGTAGCAAAATATTCCCGACCTGTGTAAGATTTGGGTATCTGAAGTTGAGAGAACAGGGCTTGATTTGATTTTTATTTATTTTACAAGGAAGGTGAAAGCAACTGTAAGAAAAAAGCTGAGGAATCAAGGAAATACCTTGACCAAACACTGAAACTTAAACATTTGCTGCAATGTGCAGTTGTAATAAGCAAAGAGAATACTGTTGGAATGACAGTTACACCTACCATTCTGTTAGAAATCTCTTTTTTTTGGTTGCTTTAATATTTACCTCTGGCTAAACCTGCACCTATTCTGCCTATCCTTTACTAGGTATTCATTTGACTGATGAATAGGTGCTTATCAACTGCTACTTTGCTCCACTGTCTGGTGTTAAATCTGAATATGTGTCATAAAACTTTACATTTGTGACAGCAGTGTAGTTCAACTGTCACCTGTACTTGCCTTATGTTTTACAGATACTCTGCGTGTTAAGCAGAATTTTGCTCATTCAGGGTACTTATTTAGCATAAAATGAAGTTTGATTATTCTGTGGGTTTACTTAGTGTAAAATGAAGTCTGTGGTGTAAGAATCTTCATTCTTTAAAGACTGACAGTTGTCATGTTTGCTAAAGAGAATATAGTCTATGCAGTGGCATTCTGCAGTAATGTCCATTGTCTGCCTTAAGATGTAAATGAAAAAATACAAGGCAACCATTGCTTGTAACAAGCATTTATGGCTATGTTTATTCTTCTGAATAGTTGTATAGAATATCCCATATAATCTTTAAGAAAGTATGCTCTTTGCCAGATAGTGTAATTTCATGTACTTCTCATCAGCATCTCCCAGTTTCCTCTTGCCACCTCAAGTAGCAGACCTGTGTTAGATGGCTGAGTGCTGCAGGCATTGGGGAATTGTCTTATTAGTAAGGTCAAGAGTGTCTGTGTTCAGGGTTACTGAATGTGGCTGAGTCCTAAAGGTAAATTAATTGCTTCATCAACTTCAGTGATGGAGTTGGAGCAGACAAACCTATCAGTACTGCTGCCCAGGCTCACTTAGAGCGTGCAGTATATTTTTATGAATTTTCCAGCAGTGGTTTAGGGCTGTCCTCCCGAAGCTATTTGCTCTTCCTCTCTTGGCATCAGCGTTCCAGTGATGGTGCATTGTATTGGGAGGAACTGGAACTACTGAGATGCAGGCACATGTTTCTTTCTGTCATGGAAAGGCAGAGGAGCGTAGCAGACATGACTAGCAAAGGTTTGAAATAATGCGGCTGTTTGCTCAATGTGTGTGAGCTGGATTTAAATTTATAAATACTGTTGGCTCTCCTCCTGGATCATGTTATAGCATTCTGGCATCACAAACTTTACACTACTTTTGTTCCCAGAAGAAGCCATTTTGTCTTCCCTTATCTGCTCTGTCTCCAGCAGCTTGTTCCTTTGCCAGTTAACCCCTCATTTGCTTAAATATATGTGAAATTAATCTCTAGTGTAACTAGGTCCTTTTCTGGATGTAGTTCAGAATGTGGTAATATGGTGCCAGCTATAGGAATGAGTGGTGGGGAGGAAGAGAAACTTGGGGAGAAAAAGGAGGAGGATGGCATGGCTATGAAAAGGGGCTGGTTTGTTCCCATTTGAAGTTTAGAAGCTATGGCTGTAGTGTTACTAATACAGGGGCTGGTTAGCCTCAAGCAATACATGTAGGAGGTGAGAACCTCTTTTTGCAATGAGGTATTGATTCTGGAATTCAGGGAGAGCCATTCTGCCAGATTTCAGTCAATTGCCTGAGTACACTATCCTAAGATGTGCTTACCCTATAATTTCCACCCCCACACCTCCCAGCTTCTGTAGCCTGTACAGGGTTTGTACTGAATGCATAAATAACCGATATACTTTATTGTAGCTCCTGTCAGTTATTTTTATACTGTTATTTTCCATATCAGCAATTACACTGTTTCTATAAGCTTTATTTTACTCCTGTAGCATGACACCTGATCCCAAAAATTTGCCCCTGGGTTTGGGCTGAGCTCACTGTGAGCCAGTGTCATAAGTGCTGGTCCCTGGTGTCAATAGATATTTTTTTATCTCAAAGTCAATATTTAGCTGTTTATCCTGTTCCTTATATTGAAGATGCTGTGATTTAGGGATTATGGTACGTTAGTACTGATGCCTCTGCAAAGAACTGTGTTGGGATGTGAGAGTGCTCTGTGCTGCGCAGGCTCTGTGCAGATATACAAAGGACCACAGGGGCAGAGGAATGTGGGATGATTTTCCACAACCTTTTCTGGCTTCTTCTGAAGTGAGGGAACTTTGTCTTGAAAATGTACTGTTCGCTAACCCCTCCTCCATTAGTGAAATCCATTTGCAGGATGCTAAAGCTGACAAATGGCCATGAACTGTAACATTAAGGCAAGGGAAACACTGGATGTGTTTTCAGAGCTGTGTAAGCAGCTGCGGCTCATTGATCTTGCTTGATGGTGCAGGAGCATCACACATCAGCAGTTCTCTTGGCTCTATTTATTTCTTGGCCCTATCATTTGGCAGAAAAGGTTACCTTTTTAACTGCCTGGTTAAAGACTCGTGGTCATGACAAGTGTCTCATGAACACTGCTGACAATTTTGCCAACTGTGGAACAAAATGTCTTAGCTTTGGGAGATGACTATATCTCCTTCATGTTGGCTCTGGAATCAGTGTGATTCAGTGCCTTGTGCCTTTCTTGAATGTGCTTCATCAGTTGGTCTTTCTTTAGCACCGTCCTCTTCAATGGATTTTTAAAACAATGCTAGTATTTGTTTTCATCATTCTCTGCAGCCTGTTTCAGTGGAAGATCGCGAAATAATCGAGCTACGGACCTTGATGTGCTATTTTTTAGTTTCATATGTCAATTTCAATGGAAATTGATATGTCAATTTCAATGGAAATTGACATGTAAAGCTTAAACTTCCCTTCCGGTATTTTTTCCCCGTGTTTGTTTAGGGTGATCAAAATAACCTTGTTTGGGGTAGATTTTGAGGGCTTGTCCAGACTTTACAAGCCTCTAATTGTCTTACATGTTAAATACCTCTGAGCACATGACCAGAAAGCAGCATGTGAGCAGCACCTCAGCGGGGATTACTGTGCTCTGGAGTCAGGTGCCGCGGCACAGATCGCAGGTCGCTGTGCCTCGGTACAGCGCTCTCCGAACACGCATCGCCTGCCAGGGTGTCTCAGAAAGGCGTTTGCTAAACATGCACAGGTCATTCGTGCATCTCGCACACATGGTTCATGCCTGTAAGGTTATTGTTAAGCTTGCATAAAAGTAATTACAGTGCCGTGGTATTATTTACAGTCATCGGCTACTTAGACTTCAAGTGTTGCAGTAATAGCTGTCCTGCTACGTATCAGGGAGTGCTTCCTCGCTGATTAATTTGGGATAGCATCCTTCTTCCTTGCGTGTGTTGACTTCCTGAGGGAAGCAGGTGGCTCCTGCAGAGAGGGCTCAGCCAGTCCTGGGAGAAATGGGCAACCTGAAGGCGGCGGCGCCGTTCTGAATTGTCCTAAAGAGCGTCACCGGGGGGCTGAGGCAGCTGCCGCTCCGGGCCTGGCAGGGGCGAGGGATTTCTTGCAGTTAGCGCTGGCCATGGTGGTACGGGGGTGCGCGTTCATATCCTGCCCTTGAACGGCGCAGATCCCGCAGCCGCGGGACTGCACTAGGCTGGGCCTTCCTTAGACTGGACTCGCCTGGCTGGAACCGGCGGCAGGAGCCGCAGGGCCCCGCTGCCCTCGGCCCGTGGGTGCCGCGGAGGGTCCGGCCCCGGGCGGGACTCGAACCCGGGGCTCTGTGGGGGCCCGGCGCGCACGCGCCTCCGCAGCCCCTGGGCGCGCACCGCCCCCTCGCCGTGACGGCGCCGCGCGGTGACGCCTCGCGCTCCCTGCCTGTCACGGGGCCCGGCGCGCGCGGGGCGGAGCTCGCGGGCGGCAGCGGCGGCGGCGCCTCGCGCCCGACGGGACCCCCGGACCGGACCGGCCGCGGCCGCAGCGCCACCGCCCCCGCTCCCGCCGCCTCCTCCCGCCCCCGCTCCCGCCGCGCCGGTCTCGGCGCCGCCTGTCACCGTCCCCGCCGTGCCCCGGCGCGGGCAGGCCCCGGCCCCTTCCCCCCCGCCCCCGGGGGGGTGGGCTCCGCTCCGGAATCCTGGCCGCTCCCTCCGCGCCGCCCGCCCAGCCGGGGCTGCGCCCGCCGCCGCCGGGCAGCGCGGGGGGTCCCCGGCGGCCGCCCGGCCTCCGCCGTCGCACAGGTCGGTGGGTGCGCGGGGCGGCCCCGGGGGTGCGGGAGCGCCGGGGGCGGGTCTGTCCGGGCGCCCCGGGGTACCGTGGGGCGGCCCCGGCTGCCGGAGGTGCCCGGGCTGGGGGGCACGGCCCCGGCCCGATGCAGGTGGAGCTGCGCGGCGGTGCAGTTGTTTGAGGAGCTGGGCACACGCTCGCTGATCTTCGTTGCTTAAATTGCAGCTGCAAAACCTTAAGTATTTTACGAGCTTTGCGAATATTTGTGTCCCCCGTAAACCTCGCCGCGATCGCACGGTGATGCTGTGGGCTCTCGTCTTCACATTGCTCTGCAGTGGTAGCGGTGCTGTGAATTGGGTATGTAGGTCAGATACTGCGAGATGTTTTTGTCAGGGGAAAAAGTGAATGTGGGATTATTTATTCCCCTGTTGCATTTGAAGAGCATTGCAGCACCCACGAGGTTGGGATTTTTTTCCCCCGGTTTCCTCTCTTGCTTCATAAATCTGGTTTTAGTTTTGTCACGGAGTGTCCTCTAAGAGGGTGGTGAAAGATAATAGAAGCCTGCCTTGAAATAAGGGAGATTTCTAGTCCATGCAGAAAATGTCTCTCAAGTACATTTCTCTTCTTTAAACAATGCAGCACGTTGCAGAGTTAGAGGCCTTCAGAATTGTGTTGCTGTGTGTATGGCAAAGATGTGTGTGCAGAATGAATGTGTACAAGCTTGTCTTGCGTTCTCTCGTGGCACAGCACTTACTAGCAGAATACCCTACAAAGCATTCTTTTCCTATGGGATTCCCTATGGATGTTTTTAAGGGAAGGGGCATTGATGAGTTAGTATTTATGCCACACTGAAAAACCTTAAAAGAATTTTCTTGGTTGTTATTTTTTCCTGCTTTCATATATGCCCTTGCTTACAGTGGCCTGATAATTAACTGCTTTCCTCAGAAATCTATTTTAAAATGAGAACTTGCTGTAATTCCTGTTTTCTTTACGCTTTGTGTTCCATCATGATTGCTACTGAAACGTATTGAACCCAAATTTGATTCAGATATTGATTCAGATAATGAGGCTGTATATAATTAACTTGATTTTCTTAAAGTTTTATTGTATTTTGATAAAACAGAATAGGAAGATAACATTTATCAGATTGAATCATTGCTGGAGAAAAGAAAGATCTGTGTAGAGTTTGCCTTGATGAACTCTGTGTCAGTGTTTAAACAGGTGGTTTACCTGTCACTAATGGAAGACTATGGCAAAGAAAACAGATGTTTCTGAGTTGCTTGCCTTGGCTTGCTGAGATTTCTAAACTGTCAGAGGAAACTTTTTAAGATAGCTGTGGTGTTTGGTAATCTTGTGAGTTTTTATAGTATATGTGAGTAGGCAGAGAGCTGTGACAGGTAGAATTTATTAATATGGTGAAACGAGCATTATCTTGTTGTTTAATATTGTGGTAGGGAAGCTTTTTTTTTTTTTTTGCTTTACATTGATAAAAGTAGCTAATTTATGGTAAAAATAAATAACCTTTCGATTTTGGTCATTGACTTGTCAGTAGTTCTTTGCTGTGGTTGTTTGGAAAGCTAGTGTGGAATTTGAAGCCTGTTGAGGATAAATGCAGAAGAGATTGTTTTATTATAAAGTTTTCTTCTGAAGAAAGCAAACAAGGTGATCATACTGTAAATTTAGGCCGCATTTGTCGTTTTTACTTCACATTTTTTCCTTATTGTTTTATAAAATAACGTGTTCATAGTTAAGTACAAATCAGAATTTTTGCTTTTTAAAACCCTATCATTAATAATAAGTATTTATGGAGAATGACTTGAAAAAAGCTTTGCATATTTTAGCAACCTTAAGTTTTATTTTTTGTCTTTTATCTTTACTGCAGGCTGACTTTTTACATCAGCAAACTAAGTCAAAAGTAGTGAGTAACATGTAATTTATTTTTGTGATAGGTTGTTCAGTGGCTCTCTACCTGGGCATTCTGTGAACTAAAAATAATGTTTTCTTATAAAATGCAACCTGAGAATGATAATGGATTGATTTTCTTCATTTACTCCCCCTCTTCCACCAAACACACAACCACAGGTGTTCTGATCTATGGAGAGGTACACATTTAGTTTGGAGTAATGAATGTATTTTCTAGTAATATCTTTTTAGATATTTGCTGTTAACATTTTCTTCTGTTTAGACTACTATTTGGAGAAAAATAAATGAATGGTGAAAATGTGACTGATTTATGCAGTTAAATACATCTTAAATACATTTGCAGAAAATGTCTCATTTTCATATGTAAATATGTATATGGAGTAGTGACTCCACCTAGGTTTATCTAATTAGCAATTAAGTTTGTCGACCTGTAAGTTTAATTTCTAAATGTAAGCTTTTAAAACTTAAGTGGAGCTGACGCAGTATTACATTAAGAAAAAAAAATTTAAAAATCTGTGAATTTTATTAAGCATCAGTTTTTCTGTGGGAGGGAAGAAAAATCTTTTTTTAAAAGAATAAATACTGCATTTGCTATTTTAGTATTCTGGCATTTTGTAGTGCTAAGGAATAGGTCAAAATAGATCATGCATGCTATAATTGCACATAGCTTGCAGAATAACATTGGAAACATGTAATTGGGCAGTGGGAACATGTTCAGAATGCAGCGTGTTAGCTGTGATTCACTTCTCACTTCTGGATCTTGGCATGAGATCTTGATATGACAAATGCAATTTATGACTCTATTTTAACCCAATTTCTTAGGCTAAACATGCTAGGTTTTTCTGGGATGTTTTTAATGTATTCACCTTCAGAGTAATTTTTTAGAAACTGTGGAAGGTTTGGTAACAATAAAAAAAGGAAAGATGGAATTCTGTATTTGGATATTGCAGGGATTTCCCTGGGAACCACTGCTGTAGAGACAGTTTACCCGCAAATACACATATGGCATAGTTTAGGGCCCAGCTTAATGAGGTTACTTGAAGTTGGCCAAAGCAGAAGGATGTGCATTGTCCTTTAAAAACTGAGAGTCAGGAATTGGTAATGCAGGGAGGCCTGTAGTGTCTTTTTCCTGTCCATTTGTGAACTCTTACTAATGTTTACTTCTATATCTCAAATTATTGCATATTTTTGAAAATATACCAGCAAAGTGTAATTTGCTTTTTCACATGAGAGGAAAATAACTTTCTTCAGGCTGAAGTGTTTTTTCTTTGCTGTAACTTTGTTTTCAGCCATTTTTTAAATTCAGATCCTTCACTGTGTCATTCTCGCTTGCTTCTCCTTCTGTATTTCCACTCATCATTTGCCCATTTCTGTGGATTATCTGCAGCAGCAAAAGATGCTGCTTTTGTTTTCCTGAGATGTTTTGTGCGAAGTGCACAAACTGCCACAAAGTGCACATCTGACAAGAGCAGTGTAATAAAATTCATATGCTTCAGATATTTATGCTGTACTTTTGAAGTTCAAGTATGATAACACTGATGAACAGTTCTCATTTGGATGAAGAAATAAGTGATGGATATGTAAGAAGGGAAGGGATTTCATGAGGTCAGCCCCTACTCGAGGCAGAAACAAGTATGCTGCAATCATGTCTGGCAGACACTTGTCTGATCATTTCTCAAAAAACTCAGAAGAGGGGAATACCACACCTCTTCACTGATCTATTTATAGCTAGTACATGACTATTACTATCGTTTGCAGGCTTTTCTTAACATTTAACTTGAGTCTCTGTCTTGGTGCTAGTTAAGCCAGTTAATTCTCATCCAACTCTTATTACTCATGCGGGATAATGAGTTCTGTGCTCTTTTCACCAACTGTTTGCATACATGAAGACTGTTCCTCTGTCTCCTTTTATTTCAGACTTCTCTTTACTAAACTGTGCAAACAGCATTTTTGTTGCTCACTCTCACTGGGCTCTATGTGATTTGTCTGGATCTTTTTCCAAGTTCTCCAAACAAAGTCTTTGAGCAACCAAGTAATTAACTTACTCTGTAAGTTGCAGCAGAAGTAACGTGACAGACTTGTTAAAATGTCATTCTAGGGTGTGTGCATACAGGTATGGTTGGGTTTTGGTTTTGTTTTGTTTTGTTGTTGGGGATCTTTTCCCTGCCAACAACATCAGGTCCTTGGCTCCTGCATTTGCTAACACAGGAGCTCCTATTAGCATTTGTTGAATCAGGCATCTCTTTCTTCATATATACAAATTGAAGTTATCGTTCAAATTCAGTCTTCATTTCAGGTTAATTTTCTTCTATTAAGCATTTCTAGACTTAGTAGAATCACTTTTCAGTAAGTTATTCTACAGGAGAATATGCAATCATTGCTCTTCCGTATCTGTTTTCCAGCACATACAATCCCTGTGGCTTTTGAACATAAGCCTGCTCTAAAACAGGGAACTTGATTGAGAGCAAGTTCTCTTAGGGTTAGATGCAGCTTCTATTGGCAAAAACGTGTCTTTATTGGTTGGTGTTATACATGTGCTGTCTTTGAGGTAAATTGCATTGCTGCGATACCTTCTGTCAGTGTAACTGTACCTGAACAAGCCTTTTGCCATTTTGAGATGTCATATGGTCCAATGACATAGTAGAAGAAATTTCTATCCTCTAGGCATGCTTTACTGGAAGAATTGCAGAGTCAGCTACAAAACAGATGTGTTCAACATGTTCCCTGGTTTTACTCCATTTTGTCTGACTTAGTAAATGATTTTATCCATAATTTTTGAGGCTAGATCACAGATGGGACAAATTTTGTGATTCTTTCATCAGCACTTTCTTCACAAAAAAAATGAAACAGACACAAATAATGATTATTAAAGAAGACTTCTTTTGGTTTCTTGCTGGAAGAAGTATTCAAGCAGTCAGTGTTGCTTACCTCTTACCTTCCTCAAAATTATTTTAAAATAATTGAAGCAGGAGTTCTGTAAATGCCAACAGTTTGAATGCTGTGTTACCAAAATGGTAACAATGGGAACTACAGTCTCACCTTTGAACAAAGATTTGAAAATTGGAAAACATCTTGATCAAGTTGTTGTTTG